AGCGGCAGTACTTGCCACACATTTTACAAGATTAGATGTTTGTCAGTGGTGCTGAGGATCTGCAAATCATTTGCCATCGTCCACAGTCAGGTCACTAAGCAGGTTTATGCTTGTTATTCAGCTTAGCTACAGCGACAGCGGGATGCCTTTGACCATAGGGATTTCCTGGCGTCAAAAGTTACTTCTATCATATGAGTCCGTTTTGGACTTTCTGTACGAGAGTGCCCTCCGGCTTCGAGTATGAATGAAACATACAGTGCATGAGAGTGTTCAGCGCTCCGTGATGTTCACATCGTTTTGGATAAGAATAACGTATCCAAAACGACGTGACTATATTGTCTCTTTTAATTTAAATCTAGATTTATTCACATTGGCCCTTGAAAACGTGAACACACTTGCCCGAGAAAAAGTGCATGGGAAGGTTTTATGGTTTTATTAAAAGTCGGGGGGACACCTCCCCCGCGTATTGTACACCCATGCTACAGGGAGCCACCGCAGAAGAGCCGCAGAGCCGCGGGTTGCCAACCCCTGATCTAAGTGGATGTTGAAGTCTCCAAGCAGAACTAGAGGAGTAGCCTACCATCCTCAGGAAAGTTTGAGAGCAGCACATCTAATTCTTCCACGAAGTTACCTAGTGGTCCTGGGGGTCGATAAACAACTATAAAATTGATTTTAAGAGGGTGGGTTATAGTGGCTGAATGTGATTCAAAGGAGCTGTTGATACTCAAGAGATAGTAAAGGATTACATTTCCAGTCACTAGAGATAAGCAGACAGTACCTCCACCTCTTCCAGTCAGACGGGGGAGTGGGAAAAAGAGAAATTATTGGAGAGTGCTGCAGGTGTAGCATTGTCTTCTGGTTTGATCCACGTCTCTGTCAGGGCCATGAGGTTTAGTCTTGATGTCGGTGACAAGTTAATGACTTGTAATAGAAGTAATAAAATCTGCTTTGTTTACATGAGACTGGCAATTCCAGAGACCAATAGAAATAGAAAGTAGTGTATTAGTAGACATAGGCAAAGTGCGCAGGTTGTTAGGATTGCGCTGCCTACAGTGTGTGATGCATGGTTTGCGAGTGGTAGTGATAGTAGGGATCTGGAAACACATAGTAAGATTTGGTTATAAAAAAACTGAAAACAGAAGGGAAACAAGTAGTAGGAAAGAGAATGATTCAGAAGCGATACTTATGTCCCTTGCCGATGTCCCTGCACGGTAGAGTCGATGGTCTTTTACACTCTTCGGTCTTCACACAAGGGCTGCCGCGGTATACTAAGCTTTTTATAGTCGTCTAACAAAACTCAAATTGAATTCAGCTGAACACACTTTCCTGTTTATCACAACAAATGGCCAAGCAAAGCGCACTACACTGACAAGGTACCCGATACAGTACGAGACCAAACGCGATTTCGTATTTATATAGATTTAGTCTATTAAAACGCATTTAGAATGCCCATCAGATTCAAGATAAGAGGCAAAATGCCGGAAAGGGGGGGGGGGCGAGGCCATGCTGCGCTGCTTTAGAGAAGAGGAAGAGAAAACTAGGGGTGCATGTAAAAATCTCTTCATATATGAATCCCGATTCTGATGGATTCACAAGTTTCAAAATGTTCTAAAGCGGCGTTCTCATCCTGTTCCTTGGCCTCGCCCTGCTCTGCACACACTCTGTATCTCTCTCTGTCTCTCATTCAGATCATCAGCTCAGTGAATACACTTATTTTCACTTACTATAGCTATGAGAAGCGTTAAACATGTACGCGCGTGCGGTTGCCGAACTGTATTAAAGCTTTAATCAGAATAAAACCGTATATTAAAAGCTAACAGAAGCAGTAGCATTTACAAATAACAGATCAGAGCCCATCATGTATTTCTGAGGGAGGGGCTTCATAAAAGCAGGAAATGATCAGCACATTCAGAGGAGAAGGGGCAGAGCCGTGTGGAATAATGGTAAATTATGTGAAAAATCATGCGTTTTTTAACAAACGAAGCATTAACTCATGTTAAACTGCACCCCATAAACACAATCAAGCCTATAAAAAAACCAGTCAACCACCCCTTTAATATAATTAATCTATATAACACTAAGAGTGGCGTTTTTCTCAGATATCAGCATGATAATAAATATAATATTGATTTTATACAAGTTTAAGAAAGTTATTATTAAGTTAACTTACATTTTTCATTCCTGAATGAATCAACCTTTTGAATTAGGTGACTTGTTGCCACCCGCTGGTGGCTTTAATTGAATTGAATTTAATTCTCAAATATCAATATTCAGCATTTTATGTTTAAAACAAAACATTATTTATGCATTTGTAACTGCTGGTTAAATGCATCCATGTCCCTGTGAGCTGCATTAAACATTCTGTGTAAATGAATCTAAATGCCACTTCAGATGCAGATTCCATATGTGCAAAAACTGTTTGTACCAGATGAAGTGGTTCCTATGCTAACCCAAACAGTTCAAACTGAACACAATCTTGCTGCTCAAACTGTGTATAGAACTATTTTTACCTTTTCTATTTTGATTTTACTTGTACTTTTACTTTCAATACTTACGTAAGTTTAATTTAGTTTAAAAATACTTTTCATACAATACATTTCACATACTTTAAAACTTTTACTCAAGTAATATTCTAAACGGTGACTTTAACTTCTACCAAAGTCATTTTCTGGTAAGATATCTGTACTTTTACTTAAGTGTGGCTTTCAAGTTCAAGTATTTTCAAGTATACTGAATATACATAACCTTTGCACAGAACTATCAAAGATGCATGCTAAAACTCTCTCCATTGCATCCCATTTAAAGGGATGTCCTTATCAACCATCCCTACTTTAATAGATCAGTGGTAACTAGTGTGTAATGTGCCCTGTCGAAATGCTTCTCTTCAGACTCCAGCTGTAGATGTTGTGGGTGTGGGTTTAGCATCTGGGCAGATCATCATTCACAATATCAGATTCGATGAAACGCTGATGAAGTTCCAGCAAGACTGGGGTCCAGTCACAGCTTTATCCTTCAGGACAGGTAATGTGTATACTATTATACCTTGTGTATGCTATATTTTTCGGTCCATTGTATTGCACTTACTTTGTCCTTGCCATGCAGATGGACATCCAATAATGGCTTCTGGCAGTCCTATTGGACATATAGGTCTGTGGGATTTAGAGGAGAAGAAATTTGTCACTCAGATGCGAAATGCTCATACAACAGCCATCGCTGGCCTCACGTTTCTTCAAAACGAACCCATCCTGATCACCAATGGAGCAGACAATGCCATACGGGTTTGTTTTTCATGATGTAATTAGGGTTGGGCGATATGGCCAAAAATATTAACACAATATTTTTTCCCATATCATAAGATATTGAGATATTTATCAGGATATTCATTTGCAATTAATGGGGAAGGAAATGCTTTCCACATGTTTGTTAGACCATGAGAATGAATGTAAACACAACTTGTTTGTTCACAATTAAACTCCACAGAGTAAGATACCTTTAGGGACCCATGAAATCCATTTTCCCCTAAATTCTTTTGTATGGTTCCATACAAATTTATCATAAAAAATGGTGTCTAATAAATTTTTTTGTTATACAATAGTAATATATTTCTGCCATCATTTCTTCAAGTTAAACCAAACATTTATTTTGACGGATTGACATGAAATTTTTTTTGTTATACAATAGTAATATATTTCTGCCATAATTTCTTCAAGTTAAACCAAACATTTTTGACAGATTGACGTGAAGATCTTTCAAGTTTCCGTGTCAATATTTGACAGTAGTTTTTTTCTCTGGAATGTAAATCTGGTGAAGTGACTATCAGGGCAGCCCTAGAGATAAAGTCCATCTGTTCATGTCCTTATATAGTTATAGCTATAGTTTGCGTATCAGATGAAACGGTGACATTCATTCACATGCAGAACATGCAGACTTATTAGCAACATGCACTGACTGGCTGTTGTCACGTTTATTTCTGCTGTGTGATAGACTGTTAGATTAATCCATACCGCGTAAAAATGTCAAGCGCTCATCATCGCTATTGACATAAATTTTATCATGATCTTGATATGATATCATTTATCATTTATCGTGTTGAATGACAGTAAACAATGGCTTGTGTGATGTAGGTGTGGATTTTTGATGTTGCCGGAGGGGACGGCCGTCTGCTAAGACAGCGGACTGGTCACAGCGCCCCACCAACAAAGATTCAGCACCACGACCAGAGCAGCTTAAACATTCTTAGTGCAGGTACTGTCATGAATCAAGGATTGAAGACAAGGGAAATCAGGGTAGATAAATGTATTCAAGCACAATGATGCTAATTTGTTTTCTTCTCATAATAGGTCAAGATGGAACTTTGCAGTCATTTTCAACTGTTCATGAAAGATTCAACAAGAGTTTGGGGCACGGTAATAACCACTTGGCATGTTCTTGTTAGTGCATGTAAAGGTGACATTTGTATGTGTAATAATAATTAGCAGCACCAAATGCAATTGTATCAAAACGAATTCGATTTTTTTTTTTTACAATGGTTTTCAACCCTGTATAGCCGGACATATGATGTAGTGGTCAGAAAAGTCTTGTGAAGGAAAAACAAAATGCAATGCAATACAGTAATGATTACGATATAAACATTAATGTTCCTCAAAAGCCTGATGCATCATATATGACACTTATATTATATACACATATTATATTTATATACATAATATATTAAATATTACATGATTTTTCCCAAATTTATGTGTGGCTAATCAAGCACAAGTAGGTTGCTTCAGCCCAGTAAGTATTACTAACAATATAAAAGTTATTCCTACGTTTACTTTATAAAAATCATTAAGGGTTTCACAGCAAAAAGACATGTATAGCACAACCTAAAGGGGGCATTTAAAAAAAAAAAGATACTAAAAGGACTTTTCCTTGCTAAAATGTACAAGTTATCAATCAGATTACATAATGCAGGTAGTAGATTGTGTACAACAGTTTTGTTTTTCCAGTTTTGATCATGTTGATAATCTAGAGGCCTTAGAAATTTGCCTATCAAATATGTTACAGTAGGCTTTAGAGCAGGGGTGTCCAAACTCGGTGCTGGAGGGCCGGTGTCCTGCAGAGTTTACCTCCAACTTGCCTCAACAGACCTGCCTGGAAGTTTCTAGTATACCTAGTAAGACCTTGATTAGCTGGTTCAGGTGTGTTTGATTAAACACTGCAGGAAACCGGACCTCCAGGACTGAGTCTGGAGACCCCTGCTTTAGAGGGTTAATACTTTGCTAGGGTGTTCTTGAAGTTTAATACTTTTTAATGAAGTAAGTACTTATTTTTTTCCAGTATAATACTTTTGCGTTTGTTCAGATTATTAGTAATAGATGTTTCCAAACAAGGTTTTCTTTTAAAAACTATTCAGCCAAACTATTTTCCATTATTCAGTCTACCTAGTCAATTATTTGCTTATTTACTTATTGCAGGTCGTTCTTCCACCCCAAACTCACGCCATTGGTTGGCCAGTGCTGCTGTATCTATCTCTCAAATAAACAGTGCTCTGTTTTGAAACGGAGACAGCCGACAAATAGTTACTTGTTTTTTTTAAGCTCATAATTATGAGCATTTTCACATTATGGACATTGATGTCATTTTGTTTTGCTCCATGTAGTATTTGCATTGTATAAGGCTTCAGTAGTCATGTTTTCCAACAGGCACCCTCAACAAAACAAGAGCAAAAAAGAAAGGTGTGACGAATGACACGGCGAAACTTCCAGCCATCACAACTTTTGCCTCAGGTTTTTATTTTGCTTTTAAATTGAATAATGTATACATTTTTAAAAGGATTGGTTCACCCCAGAAGGAAAGTTCTGTCATCGTTCCCTCATCATTAAACTTTTGTTCATGTTTGTAACAAATGAGGATATTTTTAATATGCTTTCATCAATCTTGTCCATCCATTGAAAGTCACACAAGCAAAATTTTCAATCTTCAAAAAGGACATAAAGACATTGTAAAGTAATCCATATGATTTGAGCAATTTATTTGAAGTCTCCATATATTATTATGGCTTTAAATTTAGCCTTATATTCACATATAAACATTAAACAACCGACATACAAAGAGCACATCAAATATGATAAATGGAAGCGCAATCGTGTGTGTGCATGATGCACAAGAACAAACCTCATTGGTTCAAGTGCACACGTTTAAGTTTCCTAAAAATATTGAATTTCTTAAAGGGATAGTTCACCCAAAAATGAAAATTTGATGTTTATCTGCTTACCCCCAGGGCATCCAAGATGTAGGTGTTTCTTCAGTAGAACACAAACAGAGATTTTTAACTCAAACCGTTGCAGTCTGTCAGTCCTATAATGTAAGTGGATAGGAATCACGGCTTTGAGAGTCATGAAACATACACAAACAAAATCAAATTAAACCCTGCGGATCATCTTCACCGCAATGTCCGAACCGTCCTGAGTGCGTCCTGAGCACGTTTAGCGTCGTTTTCTTCAGCCTTTGCATGAGGCACCTTCTTCTTCTTCTTGCTTTATGGCAGATCGCAGACTTATAAGTGAATTACCGCCACCTATCTCTCAAATGGACCATTGACACTCCTAATTGAGATTGTATATAGTGTGTCAATGGTCCATTTGAGAGAAGGGACGCGCTCAGGACAGTTCGGACATTGCGGTGAAAATCAGAGGTAAAAAAAACGATATAAATACTGTTCAGTTTCTTGCACAAACCGATCGTTATGTGTCTTGACACATCAATGTATCGTCACAAGCCACAGGGTTTAATTTGGTTTTGTTTGTGTATGTTTTATGACTCTCAAAGCCGTGATTCCCATTCACTTCCATTATATGACTGACAGACTGCAACGGTTTGAGTTAAAAATCTCTGTTTGTGTTCTACTGAAGAAACAAAGTCACCTACATCTTGGATGCCCTGGGGGTAAGCAGATAAACATCAAATTTTCATTTTTGGCTGAACTATCCCTTTAAAAAATATGTTAATTTGTGTTCCGAAGATGAACAAAAGTATGTTTGGAATGACATGAGGGTTTACATTTTTTTGGGGATGAATTATCCCTTTAAGATTTTAAATTCTGAGCTTATATATCTCTTTATATCCAAAACTAGTGTTAGAATTATCTTATAAAGAACTAAATACTACATCTTGGATGCCCTGGGGGTAAGCAGATAAACATCAAATTTTCATTTTTGGCTGAACTATCCCTTTAAAAAATATGTTAATTTGTGTTCCGAAGATGAACAAAAGTATGTTTGGAATGACATGAGGGTTTACATTTTTTTTTGGGATGAATTATCCCTTTAAGATTTTAAATTCTGAGCTTATATATCTCTTTATATCCAAAACTAGTGTTAGAATTATCTTATAAAGAACTAAATAAAAAAAAAAAGTCTTTAAACCTCCTGATGTTATTTTGTATAGAAACTGCTCGTCAGAGTGACTGGGATGGCATTATTGCATGCCACCGTGGTTTCCTTGTGACTACGACATGGAACTACCAGAGAGGTTCGATTGGTGCTCACAAGCTGGAACCTGAACGCTTCAACAAGAACCGTAGCCTCAATGTCCATGCAACTGTAAGTTTGTAGATAATATGTGTGCTTACATGATTATTTAGCTTTATAACAGATGATTTCAAATCCCATTTGGCCATATGTTGTCCAGGCTGTTGATATCACATCCTGCGGGAACTTTGCAGTGATTGCACTGTCTTCGGGACACATTGATGTGTACAACATGCAGTCTGGTTTTCATCGAGGGCATTATGGGAAGGACAAGGGTGAGTTAAACATCTGAACATCAGGGGCGAAATACATGCCATTTCCAGTCTGATTTCAATGGGATTTTTGTGTGTGTGCAGCACATGCAGGGGCTGTTCGCGGGCTCTCTGTGGATGCTCTGAACCAGTTGACAGTTAGTGTGGGAGCAGATCGCCTTCTGAAAATCTGGAGGTTCAGATCCAAGGAGCTGTTACACACACACAGCCTGCCAGCTGCCCCGGCGTCATCTCTGCTTCACAGGGACAGGTATTAGAGACATTAATACATTTCCCCACTTTTTCATTTTAAATGCAGTATGAATTAGTGACCAAAAAATTATTTTTGGAGGGCAAACATTTTTGGCAGAAATGGGGATGATTTGTTTTTGGCTAAATGTAAACTTATATTTTGTTTTCGGTAAAAAATTCATTTCGGTACATCACTTGTAGTGATATATTTATTGATTTTTATGAAGTAAACAAGAAAAAATGATCTATGGATAATAGTCATCATAACAGTCATCATTGTATTTAAGTAATATGCTGTTCCAAACATAGCCTGTAATGACCCTTGGCTTTTAGTTTCATGATTCAAAGAAGTTGCTTTATGAAATATTGTATATTCAGCCTTGCTGTCTGTTTGGTTCTTTTCTAGGTCCAACAACACACTGTGCAGTCTGGTGTCATTGCGCCCTCTACCTGCAGACTATGAGCCGACTGTGATCATGCTGCCAGGCACCTGCCCAAGCAGAGGTGCGAGAGCAGTCAGAGCATATTATCATATTGATTATAATTTTAAAGTCATTTAACTTGAGACTAAGTCTTGTTGATTGTGTGCTTGTCAACAGATACAGAAGAGGAGGAAGTTTTAGATGCTGACAGCTCTGAGATGGCCGAGTACATTTCACCAGCACAGCTGGATGAACATCTGATCACACTCTCTCTGCTTCCTGACTCACGCTGGAAGAACCTGCTGCATCTGGACATCATCAAGGTATGTGCATGTAAAAATAGGGGGAGAAAACAGTGGTCTGTGCTTAACTGAGATGTGTTTAAAAGGCCATTACAGATCCTTTAAAATTGTGAAAATCTGCATCTACAGAAAAAGAACAAACCCAAAGAGCCTCCAAAATTGCCCAAAGCTGCACCCTTCTTCATTCCCACCATTCCAGGGCTGGTGCCCCAGTTTGCACTACCCAGCACACCCTCAGAGAACCAGGTAAATACAATTGATAATGTCTCTATTGAGTTTGGTGAAGTATTTATTGTTGTTGGGAATTTATTTGTTCATTTTAATGTTTCCAAACCGTGATTTTTTTTCTCTCTCTCCTACAACACAAAATCAGATGCTTTGAGGAATGTTCAGGCCGCTCTTTTCCATGCAACGGAACATATACATGCATATATGTGAAAATGTCACATCTTATGAAAATGTCTCTTGTCAGTCTGATAAAATAATCAGTCAAAATGCAGTGACTTACCATGACACATGCTTGAAATGCAAGGTTAAGTTGAGTTTATTGGGATACAGTACCCCAGCACTGTATGCTTTGTTGTTGTAGGTCAAGTAGGTATTCAGTGCATACATAAAATTTGCACGCTATGTGCATTATACATATTTCATATTGTAGAAATGTTAACCCTATAAAGCCTGCTGTATCGTATTTGATAGACACATTTCTAAAGCCACAAAATTGTCAAATGATCAAAGCCTTACTTAAAAAAAAAACTGTTATGCACAGTCTACTAAATATCTTCTGTCGTCTGATTAATAGTTCATACGTTTAATTCTAAAAATCAGGTCGTGGTACGTGTCTTTTTGCAGTGATATATTTATTGATTTTTATGAAGTAAACAAGAAAAAATGATCTATGGATAATAGTCATCATAACAGTCATCATTGTATTTAAGTAATATGCTGTTCCAAACATAGCCTGTAATGACCCTTGGCTTTTAGTTTCATGATTCAAAGAAGTTGCTTTATGAAATATTGTATATTCAGCCTTGCTGTCTGTTTGGTTCTTTTCTAGGTCCAACAACACACTGTGCAGTCTGGTGTCATTGCGCCCTCTACCTGCAGACTATGAGCCGACTGTGATCATGCTGCCAGGCACCTGCCCAAGCAGAGGTGCGAGAGCAGTCAGAGCATATTATCATATTGATTATAATTTTAAAGTCATTTAACTTGAGACTAAGTCTTGTTGATTGTGTGCTTGTCAACAGATACAGAAGAGGAGGAAGTTTTAGATGCTGACAGCTCTGAGATGGCCGAGTACATTTCACCAGCACAGCTGGATGAACATCTGATCACACTCTCTCTGCTTCCTGACTCACGCTGGAAGAACCTGCTGCATCTGGACATCATCAAGGTATGTGCATGTAAAAATAGGGGGAGAAAACAGTGGTCTGTGCTTAACTGAGATGTGTTTAAAAGGCCATTACAGATCCTTTAAAATTGTGAAAATCTGCATCTACAGAAAAAGAACAAACCCAAAGAGCCTCCAAAATTGCCCAAAGCTGCACCCTTCTTCATTCCCACCATTCCAGGGCTGGTGCCCCAGTTTGCACTACCCAGCACACCCTCAGAGAACCAGGTAAATACAATTGATAATGTCTCTATTGAGTTTGGTGAAGTATTTATTGTTGTTGGGAATTTATTTGTTCATTTTAAGATTATAAAAAGCAGGGGGTTTCAGTGTTTTGATGGTTTAAAAAAATCCAAAAACATTATACAAATATGTTGTAGTTATGTATATGTACTATTAAGTTTGGCTAAAATATTGACTCAAAAATATGAAAACATTATTTATATTATATAATATTATATATATCATGTTTCTATTTTTACCTAACCCACCATGAGAGACAAAAACCCATAAAATATAAATCTATTCAGCTAATTAAATTGATCATTAGTGAAAGTAAAGATTTTTAGTTTGTTACAAAAATGTTTATTTAAAATAAACTCAGTATTCATAATAATAAGAAATGTTTCTTGAGCCACAAAACAGGATATTAGAAAGCTTTCTGAAGGATCATGTGACACTGTATTCTGGAGTAGTGGCTGCTGAAATTTTGAATCAATTATATTTTAAAATACATATTAAAAAAGGAAAGTTATTTTAAATTGTAAACATTTCACAATTTTGCTGTGTTTACTTTTTATTTGGACGCAATTACATAATGTATATTTAAATATATTATGCATATGTGAAATTTTAATTAAAATTGTTTTTTTTTTAGTCTAAAATTGTCAACTTGGGAGTGTTGGCACAGAAGTCCACCTTCTACCTTCAGCTTGAGAACGCTTTAGACAACAACTCATGTAAGCCCTTTATGCTTTCATTTGAAATGATGCTGTACTATTGAATTTGCGTTTGTAATGTGAGTGATCGCTGTGTTAATCATCTGTTGCCTCTTGATAGATGAGGAGCCAGTAAAGCTGTTGAGAGAGTTAGGCCCCTCTGCCATTGAAACAGAACTTCGGTCCCTGTCACCAGATATGGGTGGAGATGTCAGAGTTATGCAGAGCTTCCTCAAGATGATCAGCAGCATTCTTCAGTCCAAAAGAGATTTCGACCTGGCTCAAGCCTACCTAGCATTGTTCCTTAAGGTACGATGTGAGCAATTTGCTGATGTTTATTTTTCACATTTCCATACAACTGCATTAGGCTTGATAGACGGTGCTGACGGTGATACCAGTGTTAAGCCACAACACCGGTTACGCCACTTGCCCACCGCGTCACCGACCCCCACCGTCGTTTTGATTTTTTATAGTAATAAAAATAATTTAGTTCAGTAAAAGACCAGACACTACAATTAACAACTGAACGCGGCTGCTCAATGCAGCATCCCGAATGACAGTCGCACCACAGATCAGATTTCATTTCTCCAGTGAGGAGAGTGAGTCGAGCTGACTGACAAGAAGAGTGAGGTGAGACAGACAAGACGATCGCGGATGATTTAGTTTCAAAACGAGATGCAAAAGCACCTGTTTGAAAAGCCTGTTGACTTTTGCCATTTATCTAAGGTGATTTTGGAAGTTTTTTTAAACATTCGTTTCTTATTTAATTGGTTCCACATTGTTTGCTGATTTTTACTTTATTTAAAGTGTGTCATTTATTTATTTTATTTGCCATTCGTTTTGCTAATAAACATTCTACGTTTCTTATTTATTTGGTTATATATTATACATGTTTACTTATTTCCAGGTTTGTATACTTATTAAACTTTATGTAAGTTATTTGTTATTTTATATTAGGCATAGCTTGTCCTATAGCATGGTGTATTTTTATTTGTTTTGTTAATAAAAGTTCTATGTTTTATATATAGGCTAAAGTGAGTTTGACGTTGTATTTTATTGTTGTATTTTGTTGTTGCATTCAAGCAATTGATGCCGAACTGCCGCTAATTCAAAAGTGAAAGTAAAATGCGCACGGCGCTTTTAAATAGCTTAAAGAAGGAAAAGAGGGAAAATTCAAATTAACTATTGCTTTACTCCGAATTGCCGCTATTTGAAAGTGAAAGTAAAATGGGCACACCGCTTTTACAAGCTATTTAAAAGTGAAGGAAAAGAGGGAACGCCCTGCCCCCACAGTGATACCGGTATTACCGGTGTTGTCACACATCGATTAACCGGTGGGAAAATTTCCTCACTGTCACAACCCTAAACTGCATACCAACTTTATAACACAATAGTTTTGGCTTTTAGTTCTAGTACAAAGCTGTAAGACAAGACTGTCAGTTGCTTGGTTTCTGTTTCTTTCTAATCATGCTGGGAAGCCCATGTTCGCTGTCAAACACCATTTGATTTGGACTCAATTTCACCAGATGGCTTTCCTTAAATATTTAGAATATAATATTAATGTCATGTTTTTGATACAAATGAATTAATCTCTGATAATTCAGTTCCACAGGAAATGAAGATGTGCTATAAACAATGAAGGGTTTAAATTGTGCAATTGTTGAAAGCAAGGCTGCATTTATTTGATCAGAAATACAGTAAATAGAAATATCATTAATTCATTCATTCATTTAAAATAACTATTTATATTTGAATATATTTAAAAATGGCACATGATCCTTCAGAAATCATTCTAATATACGCTGATTTCGTGCTCAAGAAACATTTCTTATTTTTATCAATGTTGAAAACAGTTTTTGCTGCTTAATATTTTTATGCAAACCATAAAACACTGATATAAAAGGTTGGAGTTAGTACATTAATAATATATATATTTTTTATTATAGTTTTATTCAGCAGAAATGTGACAGTAAAGACATTTGTAATGTTAGAAAAATATTCTATTTCAAATAAATGCTTTCTGTTCGTTAAAGAATCCTGAAAAAAATGTCAGTTTCCACAAAAATATTAAGCAGCAAAGCTCTTTTCAGTGTTAATAATATTAAGAACCCTTATTAATAATTGAGCACTGAATCAGCCTATTAGAATGATTTCTGAAGGATCATGCTTTTTTTAAGGTATGTTGAAATAAAAAGTCATTTTAGATTGTAATAAAATGTCACAATATTACAGTTTTCACAGTATTTTTGATCAAATAAATCAAAGCCTTGGTGAGCATAAGAGACTTCTTTCAAAAACATTAAAAAAATTATAATTTTACCAAACTTTTGGCCATCAGTGTAAATATGTTTTTGTTCTATATAATAAAAGTGTTGTTGAAAACATATAAAATGTGATCTTTTCATATTTAATAGAAATGTATAAAGTATTATAATGCCATTAATTTTATAATATTAACAAATTCTCATTTTTACATTTATAAAAGAGCTACAAACACGTGAACTGGTTCCAATTGGTTATGAATTTGTCATAGTACATGTATAGATAAATTATGCATGAATTTTGCTGTATAGGACACACTGGATTTGTTTGGTTTTTAAACAGCAGATGGCAGCAAATGTATATGAAAACATTTTCATACAAAAGTTCAGCACCTTTCATGGACTGTCCCCATTGTTGCAACACTATATATACTACTAAGAGTATTCACTCTATATACAGTCATTTAATTACATCGAAACAACATCAAGTAACGTTTGACTGTATTGAATTTTTAACTCTTAACATGTCATCTTCCTGTTCCAGCTCCATCTTCGGTTCATCGCAGACCAGCCCGAACTGATGGAGGAGGCAGAAAGCGTGTCGGCACACCTGGAGGAGACATGGATGTCCATGCAGACGCTCCTAAATCAGAACATTTGTCTGTTGTCTTATATCAAGAGTGCACTACTGTAAAGCACATCTCTCCAGACCTCCTTTTGCTTTTCTGAGATGTTGTTGACTGTTTGTATCAGACTAAATGTTCTTGCTCTTTTTTGTTAAAACAAATGAAAAGTATACAAAATCTATGCGAGTTTTCTTTGGTCACTTTATTTTAAGGTCAAATTTTCACTATTCATTTTCAAAGTTGAACATTTACTTAGGCCATTCAAAATGTAGATGAGTTTGTTTCCTCATCAGAAAAGATTTGAGGAAATGTAGCATCGCATGACTTGCTCACCAGTCGATCCTCTGCAGTGAATGGGTGCCGTCAGAATGAGCATCCAAACAGCTGATAAAAACATCACAATAATCCACAAGTAATTCACACAACTCCAGTCCATCAACTAACATCTTGTGAAGTGAAAAACTGCGTGTTTGTAATTAAGACCTTGTAAGTTCTGGCCAAAAAACCCCAGCCCATAATAGTAGAGGTCTGCACGGGGCTTTTTTTTTTTAGTCCCGGTCCCGCTCCCGCTAATATATTCACTCTTTGTTCACTCGCTGTCTGCTTAGATTAATTTTCTTCCGACCCGACCGTTCCCGCTAAATTTAGATCTCGTTTCCAGAATCTCACTTTTAAATTTCCGCAACTGAAAGAAAGAGAGATAGGCTAACAAATACAAGTGTAGGCCTAGTCTGCACAAAATTGTGTTATTTTATTCGTCTGGTCTAGAGTTGAATTTATTGACTTTGACTTGAATTTATATGAATTATCTTAAAACACAAAATCCGTTTAGCCTAATAGTTTATGCAACACAGTAGGAAAAAGTGTCAGAGAAAATAACAATGTACAAAAATTGTGTATTTCTTATTTTTATTCGTCTTGTCAGGATACAATTCGTTTACCATTTACAACCCAATATAAAAAGTGTGGCAGAGAGGAAAAAAAAGAATGTAGGTTGTACAAAAATAGTCTATTAGCTATTTTTATTCGTCTTGTCAAAATAGCCTACTAAATTCGTTTGACATTTTTCTGTTAACACAGTAAGAAAAGTGTAGCAGAGCAAAATAAATAGCCTAAATACGACATCTGTCATTTACATTTATAGGCTAAGCAAAATATAAACAAAGCCGAGTTGACCGTCATTCAAGGACAGCGCATCCACACTTTGCTCCATCCTTATTCTGCAGAAAGTGCATAGTCCGAGTGCAGTGTTCTGATAATAACATCTTTCTAGGACTAAACATTATTTGATAATTGACCTGACGTTATTTTTTATTTGTGCTATCATTATTAATTTCTTTATTTGTTCTTATTTTATTACTGACTGCTTACTTGCCATTTTTTATTCAATTCAAGGTTTGAAATCAAGCTATCTCATGCTACTGCACCAAAATTACCCCACTGTAAAATAAAAAAAAAACACTTGAGTGAGCAAAAATGTGTGAGATAGCTAGTTATAATGGTAATTAAATAATGTTTACATATGTATAGAAGCCTACATTAAAGGGGTCATATGATGCAATTTCAAGTTTTGCTTTCTCTTTGGAGTGTTACAAGCTGATTGTGCATAGATAAGATCCCTGAAGTTGCAAAGACTAAAGTCTCAAAACCAAAGAGATATTCTTTATCAAAGTTAAGACTCTGCCACGCCCCCCTAAAACGGCTCGTTCTAACACGCCCCCACATATCTACATCACTATGTGGAAATATT